AACGTTTTATCCTCGTCTAGGCAGAAATGGGTATACTCAACATTATGAGCATTAAGCAACTTGAGTATCTGGCGGTGGGTGTTAGAATCCTTTGTGTAAATTCGGACATCCCCAGCAGGAGACAATCGAAATTAAAAATCATCAGATGGGATAATGGGGGATAGGAAGGCCTCCAAGGCATTAATATCAACGACATCTGGAATTCTAATGGGCCTTGGTTTCTTGGTTTTCAATGGGGAATCTGGTTTAGTATTGACCGCATCCTTCACTTCATCGACTTCCACGATGTCATCATCATCAACGCTCATCAGCGAGGCAAACTGATTATGACCAAGTGGAGTATTTGACTGCTGAGAACGTGAAACAGTGGGCCGTTGCGAAGCTATAACATTTTTGAACTGCGATGCCTGATTTTGCAATCGTCGCCTCTTGGGCTGTACCCGCTGCCAATCAATAGTGCTCGACTTAAAAACATGGTTGATTCCTTTGGTTTTCCATTCGGGAAGGTCAGAGGCAGTATTCTGGGAGGAGCCAAGGGATTTCTTTGGCTGGGCACGTTTAAGAGCAGCGCTGCGGAGCTCAGCCGCAACGTCAATTGAGCGAGTAGGGGTAGCCGATCGAGAGTTATCATTAGGAAGAGTCCCCAATATTTCCTTGATGTGTCTGACTGAGTCTTCGTGGGTTAACCGTCGAGATAAAGTAGCCTCCTCTTTATTCGAGGGGCCAGCTGTGGGTGACTTTTGCATAGCAGAAACCACCAAGCCACAGCCGGGCAAGGTATCCTGCTTCGCACAATAAATACTTTTTTTTTTTAAGAATTTTCAAAAATGAAATTTAGGCTTTTTCCCGAGCAATTTCAAAAAAATTTCCGGAGATAGAAAAATTTAGTTGTAGATTCGTTATTTTCGTTTTTTTCCGAGCTTAGTAAAAGCGAGACGTCCCAACTGGTTGACAGTAAAGTCGAGAATATAAATAGCAGAGAAATAGGATTTATGAATTAATTCGGTTTCTCCAGGTCCTTCACTTCGGGAGTGCATGACAATCTACGTAATGGGACTTTTACGCTTTTAGCGTTAAGCATTTACATATTATAAAAAGTACTTGAAGTTTAACAAAGTTGCAACCATTCCATCGTCGCAGATATAAACATACTTCCCTTTGACTCGAAAATGTCAATATAGGGATACACCTTTTTTAGTTTGGCGGTCAATTAACAATTTACTTTTGCGATGCTCCAATTCCATCAAAATGTTTTAATAAAGTTATGCCCTTACTTACTTTGACCAAAAAGGAGCCCGGCTCTAATTGGAGGCTTGAGCAAGAGCCTCTCCACGTATACCTCCCTACCCTATTAGAGGGTATCCCAACACTGTAAGGGATAAATGTACATACATTCATGTTAACTAAATCACATCCAAAACAATCGCAGAAAATTAATTAATTAATTATTAATTAATTGAAATATATGCGCATATATAAAGGTGTAAACTATAGTTATTCAAACTTGAATTACTATAAAATTTAGATACAATTCAGTCTTTTAGGTATAAGTGTTTTATATATTTGATTTAAATGATATTTTCATTAACCGATTGTCAAAGGTCAATTTGTCAGCTGTTAGGGTATATAAACTGCGGGAACCGGAAAGTAGCTTCCTTTCGGTTTCAATTTAAAACTCGCCCCTATGCCCTAGTATTGTCCGGCCTCTTAATCATTCAGTTTCTTTTTTCGCTTGCTAACGAAGTTCACAAAGGCATTGGCCCAAATTTCCGACACAGTTTTCACTGCAGGGCGGTCCTGGGCAGTACGCTCTCCCTGCCTTCCTCTCTGCTCGGTCTGGACGTCAGTTAGCGTACACTGGTATTACATAAAATTGGTCATACGCACCGAGCTCAGTTTCATTATATTCCAGTATCCCTGCCAGCCCGCCTCGGTGTTGCCCAGTCCTTGGACAGGAATGCTGACAATGGGCTTCTTTCTTTTCGATTCGTTGGGCTGCTGGGCAGTGACACGTTTGCTGGGAGGATGCAGCGAAGTGAGAGCATTCGTGCCGGAGCCATGAGCCCGGCGGGACAAAACCGTGCAGCAGACTTTCCAGAAAACTAGCCGGGAGCTATCAGGCTGTACGTCCCGCCTGCCCGTGTCGGGTGCGTATGTGTGGCTTTGGGATTATTTATGCTCCTGTGCTGTTGTTGTTTACTTTAATTGCCACTCACTGCTGCCCAACATAGTCCGCACTGGGACCACAGTCTGAATTATATGCTTGATAAATTGCTGCAACAGCAAATCATCGTCACCGTGGGCCTGGGCGTAGTAGGGGCGTTGTCGTCGTTATCAAGCCGGCCAAGAATGTATACAATGTATACCATATGTACATACATATCTGAATTTGTGATTTTTAAAGGCAGACGTCTGCTCCCATGACTATACATAGAGGGATCGGTATAACAAAAGTTGTGTTGGTAAGAGGTAAGAGCGGCCGATTAAGCTAATGTTTAGAATGGCTTATTGCGATTTGACTAGAGTAAATGATCACATAACTGCAGTTCTGCCTTCTTATCCATCTTTTCGGGCACAAAGATGATGGTGAGTTCGTACAAACGTACAACCGATTTCCAAAACTATAAGAATAGTAGTGGTTGGATTTGCAGTTTTAACAAATGTTCCTTTTTTAATTGATGCCAACGATTTCAACACAATTGTGGCAAAATATAACTTAAATATACAAACTAACAAAATACAGAAAAGATATGCGGATTTGATGTAACAAATATGTAGTTGTTTATAAATTGACGCTCGGCATTTTTTCTATTGAAGGTTGGATCTCGAAAATATTGATTCCTAAAATAAACCCAATGAAAAACGAAGCCAACAATATGAATTCTCTATTTATAATGCTTTCTTCGTATAAAAAATAAAATGTAGTGCTGAAAGTAGTCTATGCAGAAGTCTTTCTGCAGATAAGCCACTTAAATTAAAATGCATTAAATTTACAATTGCGTCTCAGTAGCAGCGAAGATCAAAGTGGATACATTTTGCTTTTCCCCATATTCTAGTATACATATGTATGTTAAGAGAATAATGTTTCAATTATTTAATTAAATACAGAATAATAAACAATGATCAATGAGCCTCCCGAAAGAACAATTGTTCTTTTATTAAGAGTTTAAAAATTATGCGCAAGTATCCAGTTAGCAAGCTTAGTTCTTGTGGGCTCATTTTACAAATAAACCCTAGTTTAAATAAAAATTGAAAACAAAAATAATAAAATATTAACATTTCAATACATTTATATTTTGGCCTACCAAAATATTTAGTTAATAAGTTGGGAGTTCCTTATATTAAAGATCTACTTTAAAGACGTTCATACAGGATTTTTTAAATTATTGTTAAAGTCATAGTCTTAATCTTCTTAATGTTATTATATGACAAAGAATTCTTTTTTTATAAAAACTAAATGTCTTGAAGAAAAAAAGCACATACTGTAAAATTGAAATAAAATAGATTTATTCCTAATTTTTTGTCCTCGAAGACTGAATAATTTTTTGTTTATGCTAATTAATTTTGAGGTGTTTTAAATGGCAAAACAACCGGGTGCCAACGCCGGGACAGGAAATTGTATCTTTTTTTTTGGGCATTTTTCTCTTTATGAATGCGTTTCTCTTAGGCGTTTATGCTTACGAACCCAATGCGGATGGTGGTAAGCATCCGTTTGCCTTTTATACAGCTCCCTTGACTTGCATTTATTGCCTGAGCTTGTAAACATGACATTTCCATATTTATCTCCATGTGGCCTCCTCAACCCCAAACATAGCGAGCTAGCGAAACACGTAAGCTTATCTCCATACTCCCGGTGTTTTGGCCAAAACTGCACGTTGTGGAAAATGTATAACACGGATTACATGAGTCATATTTGGCATAATTTGATTTTGCTCGTGGTTCTTAACTTTTAATAATTATTTAAAGTCTCTTAAATCGAGAATTTTTTCTGTTGGCTCTATCTGTCGAAATCAATACTTATTAGAGGATAATGGCGCCTCGGTCGGCGGTGTACAGGTGGGCGTCAAGACCTCCGCCCTGTGCTGTTTGGCTCGACTTTGTCCCACCTCTTTGATGTTTTCCGAAACAGTGGTCAGGAGTGGATGGCTTTTGTATAGCGCGATGAAGGGTCTGCCAAATTGAATAAGCTCGCTTCTCGGTTCATCCCCTGACGGTATTCGGTCAACACATCCTCACAAATATTGAGGTTGACAAGAGTGTCCTGTATGGGTGTTACTCATGCATGTGAGTCAGTGCTGCCAACAGCCAAGTTAATAAACCGGAGAAAAATAACGGACAAAATGGATATAGTAAATATATAAATGTGATAGCTCCGACTACCGAATGTAAAATGTTATTGTTAAATAGTTATATGTAAATAAAAAATAAGACAGATATCCAGAAAAGTGTTGTGGGAAATTGATTTCAGCAAGACCGTTTAATAAAATACAATATTTTCCACAATGGGGATTATTACTTAGCGGGCTAAGAGACTGCTCTGGGCCCATGGTTGCCTTACAGCAGCTCAGAGTCGTTGTTTATAGATTATTGAACATTTTATTTTATCTTGCTGGGGTAAGCGTTGAATGGCCCCTGCTGGAGTTCATCCTAATAATAACCAAATGGATCCGGTGTGCTCACTCGTCCGTTAGGGCACACAGAAAGTTTACCTTATTTGTCAAAATCATGTTTATGCTGGGTACAACGAGGTTATTTATAATGTGCGTTTGTATACATATTTCAAATAACAATGAGTAGCTCAACATGGCGCCGCTAACTTATTTTTATGAATACCTACCTCGAGGATTCTAGATAGATGAGGTAATATAGGGTAGGTCTACTTACATTGTATGTGTCACTGCAGATGCTACGCAAATAAAATTGTATACCGCCACAATGTTAAAAGTAATTCAGTAATCCGAACATCAATTAACGTTTAGTTCATTGTTTATAAAAAAAAATTGTGTTCTAAAAATTGCTGACAATTACTTGACCTCATCATCTTTAGAAGGCAAATTGTGCAGTAAATTTTATTAAATGCATCAGTAGGAGCTCCCTACTGTAAACTTGTAGAACGTCACTCCTTCCGGGTTGATTCGCGTGATAAACTTATCATTTGGCTTAAACAAACCTAAGCTATGGCTTTTATTGAACAAGTCCTGCAATGACAACGAAAATCGGCTTATGGCTCCCGGAATTTTTGCAAACTTACCACCACAGAATATCCAGTGCGGCTGTTTAGACCCAGACGATACAACAGTACATCGAATGTTTGAGGACACAAGGGGCAGACACGAAGGCCCCCCTGGTTGACGAATGCTACTGCAAGCGAGCTGTCCCCAAAGTCGTTCACGGGTCGTACAGGACGTGCCCAAACCTGGAGGTTTAAATTAGTTTGATGGCTCAAAGTGATAATAATCAAAAATAAAAGCTAAATTCGAGCTCACGAAGTTCTTATACTCTTAACGCTTTGCACTGATATCGAATCAAATATAAGAACATCGACCTTTCGATATTATTTCTATGCTTCTTTTCTCAGCGCAAATACTGAAAAGCTAGTTCGCATAGGCAGACGGACAGACGTGGCTAAATTGACTCGGCTGTGATCAAGAATACATATAAGGTTCTTCACGGTTTTGAAAACTTGTGGTCAACATTATAACACTCTGCAAATAAGGCTAACCTGGATATTTCGAAATTTCATAACAACTTTTCCGGGCAAGCCCATCGGGTCCTGATCAATCGCTATTATTTCACGGTTCTGAAGCAGATCCCTTATTTCTGGTCGTACGGTTTCCAAGTCGTTGGTCATAATCAAAGGTGCCGCAAGTACAGCCCAAATAGCTATTTGCAGGCGGCTGGCATCATAACTCAAGCGAAAGTTCCCCAGGACAAGCTTAAAGGAAAGGATGTTAGATTCAATAGGTGCGGTTCAGATAACTTAAATATTACCATGTCAGGATCGTTCCAGCGACCAGGACCAGAATGCGCCGTCAGAACATTCTGCATGCTGGAGTATCGTGACATTATATTAGTTACCGATGCCAGAGAATCCTCTATGTCGACTGCGAACCGCCATAGATTACAATGTTGCGAAATTAGTGAGTAGTCAGGCTGAAGAAAGGTAGGCTCGTTAAGTAGCTGATCGAATCAAACCTTTAAAGCCTACCTTTGACTTATAAAATGGCCAGCTGCAGGAGTAAACAATGGGACGACCCGTTTTGTTCAAGGCCTTGCCAAATGCGGGATAGCCACTGTCGAGTTCCGCGTCGCTTGCATAACAACCATCCATCTTCACGTAGTCGACGCCCCAGTTGGCGAATGTCTGGGCATCTAGCTCGAAATGCCGAGCAGCTCCAGGACCCCGGAACATGCAAGTCTTCTCACCTACGTCGTGGTAGAGTCCAAACTTTAACCCTAGGCTATGAATCTGTAAGGCATTAAAGGTAGCTAGCTAAAGGCTTTCTAATAGTTTACTTACATATTCACCGAGAAATCTCATACCGCTGGGGAATCGGTCCAAGCTAGGCAAAAGCTCGTGCGTGGTCTCATCGCGATGGGTCTCCATCCAACAGTCGTCGATTATAACATACTGATATCCCGCAGCGGCGTATCCGTGGGATATCAGCAGATCTGCTGTACGTTTGATGAGCGTCTCACTAAAAATAATGAAAAATGTACAATCAAAAAGATAAGAACTGATAGCGTAATCCACCTGATGCAGTCTCTCGGAAAACGAGCGCAGTCCGTCACGCAGCGGAACCTCTCAAAGGGCATCCAGCCCATCGGCGGTGTTCGTGCCAGTCCGTTCTCGAGTCCATCTGCAAAACGAAAAAAACTGATTCCAACTAGCAAAAGAGACATTAGCAATGTAAAGTTTGCGACAGACTTCAGAAGCAGAAAACCAAAATTATTTATATAGGTGGCTGTGAAAATTCCCATTTTTCGCTGCTGCACTACAGGAAAAACTGCAGTTATTGGGATGGCAAAACTAATTTGGTTCTAACCAAAGTGGGTAGAGAGGGGTAAATTGCGACCGGCAACACCAACGATTTTGCTACCCTTCGTTAAATATCTCTTCCCAATTTTTTGTAGCGTCTTTCGTGTCAAAAATTTAATTTCGATTTCGTGATTTATTAAGCAGTGATAGAATTGTTTGGATGGTAGTTACTGTATTTATTTATTCTTAAAATATAATTCAGATTCTGGTGATGGTAGTAAGTAAAAAGTTTCCGATTTGAAATAAAGTGTTTTTATATAGTAATTATAATTCTACATATATATATATACACCCCTTAAGTACCGGGCATAAAAAGTTTAAGAAAGCAGATAGATTGACATAAGTTACTATTATTTTTATTATTTTGAAAGTAGTAAAAAGCTGGGTTGTAGCAGCTTTATCATAGCCAGTGGTTACCTTAAACAATGCAATTCGTATACCGTTCAATTATTTAAGGTTAGTTACAAAACTTCAACTACAGCCAACCCACACCCATTTGGGCGAACCGCGACTTGATTTTTTACAACGAGCGTAATTTAATTTTCCAGCTAATGAATTATGCACGAGAGAACAGCCACTCGCTCATAACAAAAATTTAAATGTCTACAATTGGAATGTACACACTTATTAAAAGAAAAGTGAATTTATTGCTGTCCACGAGTACCTTCCACAATGCCAAGCAAATAAACCAGAATGCCTTACACAAATCAAGGGCCGGACAGAACATTTAATTTTCCACCCGTTGTGCTTTTGTTTTACTTCCCGACTCGAACTCACCATTGACCGTCAAATTGTAATCAAATGATAAATGTTGGAAAGGAAACAGAGCTCGACCCGACGTCGTCCCCCGACAGGATATGATGCAGAGCTCCGCCGCAGGCTGCCACCGCAGGCCCCCACCGCAGAGTTGACAGCAAAAACAAGAGGAGACTTCGAAGTGGAACAGTGGCCACTGCCACAAGACGATATCACAGGTACCGCATGGATGGCAAGCGCACCATCTGCGAAGGATGATTCCCGGAATCGAGGAGGACGCACTCTGACCGGGACTGTTGGAGGGAGTAAACGAGCAACTGTAACAAGTCGCAGGACAATGATTTGAATTTCTGGGCTTTTGTTTTGGGTCCCGTTCTGTTTTATGGCTCAGGGTACGGAAAGAAGAAAGTGCAAGAGTCCAAAATAAGACAGTAAACGGAATGGGAGTTGGTAAGAACTGCAGCCGCTTGCCGCCTGCCGCAAAAAAAATTAAAACAAACTGAAAGCCAAAGAAGACCAACGCACAGATGCTACTGCTGTAACCAAGACGAGAGCTATGTAAGGGCCCAGGAAATGGGACTGGAAACTCCTCCTTCTCGCGGATAGTGCGCCTGAATAAAATATAAACCTAAGCCAAGGTTTGCGGAATGCCATTCATGACTCTGCACAGAGATAAGGGACGGTGGCCCTCGTCACTACAGGCATTGTCCTTTAGAGTTGCGTGGGCCTTCCACATTTTTGCAAATGTTGTTTCTTTATAACTGCTCACAAGTTATTTCTGTTCTTTCACATCGGCTGCTTCAAGCACATTAAATTTCCCGAAAGACGTGTGAACGGTGTTAGACTCCCTTATCATCAAACACATGGTCGTTCACTTAAAAACGACAAAAAAATATATAAACGAAATTTGTATACCCTAATATAAATTTTACATATTTATGTTAACAAACAATAAAGTAATGCCTGCTTTCATTTCATTCACATATACATATTATCTATACAAAAAAGATTCGAAGAGTTTTCCGATCGCTCCTATGACAGGTCGTCTGATCCGGGCCGTCCCGAAATATATGCGAGTGAGAGTAAATAGAAGACTAACTGCAATGTTTCATTCAGATAGCTTCATAACTTGAAAGACTAGTTTGCGTAGAAACAGATTGACGGACATGGCTAGATCGACTCGGCTGTTGATACTGATCAAGAATATATATATTATATATGGTCGGAGGTGACTTATTTACTGCGTCGCAAACTCCTGACAGAAATTATAATACCAAAGACTATACTCTGTATACTCTTTGATAAAACCTGGCAAGGGTATAAAAGTTGTTCTTGCGGCAGCTTGTGAGGTGATAAAGTCTTCCATCTGGGCCGGCGTAATGTTATTTTGCTCAAAAGTTTTGAACTCATTTCTTGATCATCGATCCATATAAAACGTGTGTATTTATTTATTTAAAATTACGCTGCATTTAAATAATTATTTAATATTTGTGATTTTGTGTTTTTGTGAACAGAAAGAATTGAAACCTAGTCCTAGTTTGGTTAATGCCACGCTGAAAAATCAGAGTGGTAACAAGAACACCGCTACATAACAAAAGTAAAATTACAAGAGTATAATTTGTTATCTTAAAGGCAAAGGATTTGTTTTTATTTTTAAAGAAAACAAATTGTATTCGTGTACCTGCGTCCGAATGCCGCTTAAAAATTTATGCAATGATTCTCCGCGGCGCTCGGTTATAAATACTTAATTTATGCAAATTAAATGATTCCCGGTAGTCGTCTGCAGAACCAGATACGACAACGCAGATGCCAGCTTCCCGAGCGATGAAAGCCTCCACGATATGCCCCATTTCGGCTAATTAGCATAAGGGAAGTTCGGTTGTTGGTTAAACCTAACTTCATTACACTGCCTACTTTTCCCTGTCAACGCTTCCATTGCCATTTTGTAGCGAGTTTCCCAACTACTTAGGCCGAGAATTCCGGTTGCGTTTTTGTTGCTCTCACTCCCGGCTATTGGCCAACGCCAACTAATTAATTCTCACTTTTGCCACTAACCACCCAGCTAGGGCCGAGAGAAAAAAGTGCCTAGAGAAAGGATGCAAATTTGGGCTCCCTCCCAGATCCGGCTCCGCTCGGTTCTAGACCTGATTCTGTCTTTGTCGAATTTCACGGCCCCCGTATCGTTGCCGTGCGCTCTACGCGTGTAGTTTTCCCAGTTAATGTGGCAAATATGTTAACAAGCTTCTTTACAATATGCCATAAAACACATAGACCGCTCAGGACAAAAGTCAGCGGAATTCTGCGTTATGTTTGCATAGGCTTCCTCCAGCCTATGCTAGCGGTCCTTCCCTTTCCGGACACGTAGAAGTGCCGGAAGCTGGTTGCTCCCTGCTTACTCAGATGTGTTGTAAAATTACGCATTAGTTTCATTATGCGGCATATTAAAATCTTCTTAATTACGAAACGTAATCAACAAAGGTTCGGTGCACGTCCATGAGTGCTGTACGCACTGTGCCCTGAGCCTTGTTCGGCCCTCTTAACATATTTGTTACTGGTTGTGTGTTTCCACTTGAGTACGTGACGAGTGGTGTCGGCAAGAAAAGTCGGAGTAAACGAAAATGTATGTACCTAAATTATCATGACTGGTCTAAAATTTTTCAATTCGTGTAATGTTTGTTTACGCACAGTGCCTAGATATATATGTACATTGTACACACGTAACATTAGGTAGGAAGTTAGTAGAGCATGCATAAGACGGGGAGTCCTTCTGTGGCAGTAGCTTTGGTAAAATATGCATATGTGTAATTCTCTGATGCCGAATGCGACATTCGTACGCATTCAAACTAAAAAAAGATGTACCAAGACTTTATTTTAATTTTACAAAATTTGAAACTTATAGCTCTTGGTTAGCTATTGGTGATAAGATCAATTTTGGGCCCTTGTTCGTTTTCACGATATTTTCCAAATTGTTCTGCATTCGCACGCCAAAAACATATTAGTAACATTCGCTTAATAAAAATTGTATTAGAAAAATTGTGAAAATTGTATTAGAATTAATATTTATGAATTATGCAATGAATTATCTTAATAATGTAATTTGTTTGACTTCAAAATATTAAGTAATTTTCAACTCAATTTTTGTCCCGGTCGCACGCGACATTTTAGAAAGCGATATTGGTAATCGCATATATCCTTTTGTCCTTTTATTGAATTTTTGCGTTCTGTGTGATTTTTGAAAGCAAACCCCAAAGCAAAATGTTTCTTTTTTAAGAGATTGGTGCCAAAACAAAACAAGCCTTTTTATAAAAGTAACGAATATTGCGTTTACTCGAATTCGAAACTAATTTTAGAAAATGAAAACATTTTTGTAATCCTAATGAATCTAACTATTTCTTTATGTAATCATTGTAAAAAGACTCGTTTTTAAGCAATTTTAAGTTTTTGGCCGCGGTGGACCTTTCTGGAGAATTGCCCAAATACAAATTTGACGTCGGCAGCAACAAATTTTCTTTTTGGTTTCCAGATAGTTGGTGGTTAAATAATATTAATAATAAACAATATAATATAATAATATAATTATAATTTAATACAAGGGGTAAGATGGTTTGGTAAACAAAAATGGGGGTGGATGAATTTAGAGTTAAATCAAGAAAGGAAGCTAACTTCGGCACGCCGAAGTTTATATACCCTTGCAGATAGAACAATGAAGTAATACCCTTGCAATGAAACAATGAAGTAATACCTGCTTTCATTTCATTCACCTATACATATTATATTTGCAGTTTTACAGTCACAGATTTGCATTTTTGCTCCACATCAAACGATCGTTTGTATGGCACCTATATGATATAGTCGTCAGATTTTCATAAAATTTGACACAAAATTTAAGACAATATAAAATGGCTATACCTCAAATTTGATGAAAATCTGTTGAAAACTGAAAAGTTATAATTTTTAATTGTATTAATATGTCGATCGTTCCTATGGGAGCTATATGATATTCTTCAGTACGTTCAAGTGGCCCGTATGACACCAGGCACGTGCTGTTTGGGTTAGGTGTTAGTAGGCGCGATGGAAAATATAGGACAGAATACGAGGAAATTGACTACCGGCGTGCTGTCAGATTGTTAGCTTGCATGTTTACTAAGTGTGTTAGTATTAAAGATTTTAATTTGGGAAGGGTATCTACGATTTTCCGATAGTCCGATTTTCATAAAATTTTACAAAAAATTGTAGAATAAAATGAAATGACTATATCTCAAATTTGATTAAATTTCGTTGAAAACTGAAAATGTTATAATTTTTTTTGTAAAAATTTTCCTGATCAAGAATATATATACTTTATATGGGCGGAGGTGCCTCCTTCACTGCGTTGCAAACTTCTGACTGAAAGGGTATAAAA